CCTAGTCTCCTGTCCCAGCTCTAACCCCAAACCTTGAGTTGATTTGATTTCCTCGTTGTACAGACCACAGCAAAGACTTGAAAAATGGCATAATGTTATTGTACAATAACTATCATCCTTTTTCTGCTATCTCAAATCATACTGCTTTATTTCATCTGTTTTCATCGAAGAATTAGGCAAACAGAGCGTGAAAAAGCTGCTGTTTTGCTCATGCATTTGCACTGACTTGTTGCAAAGACAATTGTTTTCATTTCATGTTTAGAATCATAAAGTTTTTTATTAATATTTGTAAAAAACTGAAAAATGAAATGACAAATAAAATTATTTTTACTGTGGTATTACATTGTTTCTCGGTTGTTTATAGTCAGCAATTAAAAATCTAACAAAACAAAACATGATTTGTAAATGTGATATGATTAAATGCAACTTTTCAGGGAAAACCACCTGCTTGTCTCCATAGAAATGTTATCTCCAGGAATGTTGCGTAGTAAGATTTCTCAATCTTCACGTCATCGGAGCATGTTACAGGTCAGATCTGTGGAAAGAAGAGCCAACACTAAGTAAGAATGCATCTTTTCTCTTTCTCTCTTTTTTTTTAAAGAAATAAAACCTCTGTAATTGAATGAATGCTAAATAAATATGTTTTGTAATACCATACTGCACAGTGCAACAGTCAAAGTAATAACATCTCCTGGGGAAAAGCAGGTGACAGACCCCCCCACATCGGAAAAGTTACATACTGCACCTTTATATGTTGCTTAAAGCAATAATCACAATCTACTGAACTGTTATCCTAATAAAACAAACAGGTTAAGAAGCAGTTTAGATTAAAGGGCCCATATTATGCTATTTTGTGACCTATGCTATAATGTTTCCTCAACACAAACAGGCCTGGAGTTGTTTTGTTTCATTCACCCATGTTTAACAAACAAACCCTGTACATTGAGGCTGAGTTCTTCTCTCAAGCAGAAAACATTCTGTTCCACCTTGTGATGTCATGTGGTAATGATTGACACAGTAGAGAAAGGATTTTTAAACTCCATAACCTTCACTGGAACCATTTGAAAATGTCATACCTGGAATTGGTAAAAGGTAGGTATTCACTTGAAAACTACCACCCACTTCATGACATCACAAGGTGGAACAGAGCATTTTGAGTTTTGTAGACAGGCTGATAATAAAGGATTAATAAATAAAACAAAACACAACTACATGTATATGTTCAAGGAGGCAACAGCATTCTAACATGGCTTAAAGCTCACAAGTATCAATTTTATTTGATAGGACCTTTAAGGAAAGAGTCATTATTGCACAATATTTAAGTTATATGAAGTTATTTGGAATAAAAATAAGATTATTTTCAAGAAAATACTTTTTTATTAGTAGTGGATGTATTGAATGATAATGCTCTTTCATTCTGCAGGGGATTATAATGACTACATCCTGTATAACAGCATAATGCATTTTTGTCTTACTACAATTGTAACTTTGTATGTTTCAGCCAATCTTGTTTCTTTTGTGAAATTCCAAGAGAGCGCACTAAGTCTAAAACACAATGCATTCATTCATTCAGAGGTATTGGCAAGTGAGTTGAACCACCCATACTGAAATAACTCACAATAGATTTGTTAATGGACAACTTGCCATTTTATGAGTTGACAAATCATTACTTGAGTGAGTAACTTAAGTGCTATCAAATTTGGTCACTGTGCAAACATAAATAAAGTAATAGGTTTATGGAATTCCAATTGAATGAGCTACCTAGACAAAATTTAGGATTTCTAGGAAGATTCTGTGAAAGCATCAAAACAATGAACAACACATTTAGTGGTCTAGGAAGGAGGTTATACCAACACTAATCCCACTATAAAAAGTATTTATTCAATTACTACCTTCATATCAAGTACTGTTAATGCTACTTAAATCAGATTTGTGAGTTTGATAATGAGTTTAGTGGATTAGAAGCATCATTGTTTAATCGGGGGTTGAAGTCTAATTGAATTGACACTGATGCAAAAGATAAAGTTCATTTATAAAGCAACTGGACTTTCTAAAACCATAAATATAGTTTTATTATCACAGTTACTATGACTATTAATGAGTTTTTGCTTCATGTTTATTATTATAGGCACCAATTTGAGTATTTTTGATCAAATTATACAATATTTTGAATTGTTAATTACTACTGTTCCCAATTACTCTGCCTGAAACCCATCGATTCAACTGCTTCTACTGCTGCTATACTAAAACACCACTACAAATTTATTAATAATTAGAATGTTTAATATCTTAGAAATAAAGGATTTTATTGAAAAATAATATATAATAAAAACTGTAAATGACTTTGATGTAAACAGATGCTATTGAATGCCCCTGCTACCATTTCTCTATAACTCCTACAATATTCCTTGAAATACAGGATTTATAGAATCTTGCTTGAATTTATGGACGTTATGCACACTTGCAACAAAAGATATAATAAATGTGAAGCTGTCAGGTTAATCCAAGCAAGAACAATTCAAGTTATGCTTGTTGTGTTCTGCATTCAATCTTCATCTATGTCTTTCTCACACTCATCATGTGAGTATATGCAGCTGTTTTCGAGGTAATTCTTCAAATCCCACTAACTTTGAACCACACCACAGGCAAAATACCGGAAAAATCAAATCATTCGTAGTAGTCATCTTTATGTACTTTTACTGCGTTTCATTCTTGGTAGAGGCTCACTCTTCTTTGTACTCTGGTCTTAAGAAACAACAGGATAAACTATATACGCCCATCTTATGCCACAGTCTGGAAAACACATTTAACTGTCAAATACTGAACAATATTGTCTGTACCTATTTAATTTTCTACTTTAAGATGGTATCAGATTTTTTTGAATAGGCATAATTATAAAATCAGACAAGCTGCAATTATTTAGGTAATAGAAAGTTCTTTGCACACAAGAAACTCTTCTGTCTATTTAAATGGTAAATTACTTATGTTATAAACATCTACAAACACGTTCTGAAAGGCATGGGGGTTCTTGTATTTATTTAGCAGTTCAAATTTCAGTCTCAAAATGCTCCTGGGCATGTTTAAAATGTGCACTTTGAACTTTGAAAACAATTCAAATCACAATTGCAATAGAAGAAAATGAATAGCTATTTTAGTTTTTTTTTTTTTTTTTTTTTCCAAAATTGTGCATTGTACAAAGCCTACATCTTTTAAATCACAGTCCCATACTTAATAATAATTCCTATTACCTTGAAATGATAAGGCTATAAAACAGTTATGACTTTTACAACAACTACTATAGCTGATGTCTAGGTTTATTTGAAATGTCTCAAATGTTTCTTATGGCTTCTGCTGTTAAAATGTGAAGTCAAAATATGATAAAAGCATTTTTAAAGGCCAATAGAGAACATTCTTATGAATAATATTTTGCTTCTTAGTAAGTAAATGCATCTTCGTTCTTGCATGTCTGCTAGTCTTAATCTACTTAGCTAAATGAAAACACCAGATAATTGTGGGTGTAAACCTTCACTTCACTGAACTACATTGGTTCATCAACAACATTCAGGCTAGATAAAGTCCACAAGACTTCTTAGAAAAGAACCTCATTTAGGGATTTCTAGGAAAAACATGGAGATTGAGCTATTTGGGATAAGCGCGCTCTCGTGAATATGGCCATGATACATACAGGGGTTCAGTCTGTCTAAAAGGTGCGTTAAGTCTTTTTTTTTTCTCTCTCTCTCTCTTATAGTTGAAATATAATTTGAAGCAAGTTAAACAAAAGACTCCTTTTCAGTACAGTTAAGTCATGCATGTGGTTCTATGATGTTCCTTTCCCTTCCTCCGGCACTTGCTGTGTTTTCATTTTCATTTACAACAGATTTTGACACTGCATTTGATTAAAGTTTAACTGTTACTTATTACATATTTCATTTTCCATAAAAATACTACAAAATGTATTATAAAACTATGCTATCTTCTTTGCCTTTATAATACATACTCCAATATAGTATTTCACACTTGCACAATACTGGCCAAACATTACTGCCCTACGAAATTATGTAAAGTCAATGGGGGAAGGCCAAAAATAAAATCAAATTCAAAAATCATTTGCTTGTTGAAAATTTAGGAATAGTAAATGCATAGGCTACAATCATAGAAGGCCCGGTCAAGAACGCGAAAAAGCCTAGGGCCTCTCAGATGACAAAAACAAAACCCACTGACTGCTCAATGGTATGCATAACTAAACCTATAGGCTATAAATAGGTCATTAATATGATACACTAAGAATTGTTGCAACTTAAACTCATTACATTAGATACCCAGTAATTCTATTAGTGACCTATATTTAATTGCTTTCATCCAGCACATTTGTTTAAGATTGTTTAGTTATTTGCTTTTTTTTATTAGGCTTAAAAAATGGGGAAATTACTAGACAAAGGGCCAACTGAATACTTATAACCATAACTCAAAGCAATGATTGTAAACTTATAACCATACCTAATACTTTGTTTTGCATTTTGGTAAACCTTTAAGTCTGCTAGAAGAAGCTGGTGGGTGACCTGCCTTTCCTTTATAACCTACTTTGCACTCTACGCAAGATTATTAGAGAGTCATCGTTTTTCAGACAGCAGTGATTCAAGGCTTGGTTTATCAGTAAACCTGTTTTACCATGTGTTACTATGTGACAAGAGATTATGTCAATAACAAACAACATAGTAATCTGAATCTTTCAAAAAACACGCTTTTCTGTTAAACTGTCACAATAACAAGTTGTTTTCTGAAGCATAATTATTATACTCCGGGAAAAACTCTCGCCGCGTGTCCATCCACCGCTAGAATCGAGGGAAATCTGCTTCACTGGAAATAGCCATGTGCATTCCTATTATCTTTAATGTCGAGGCGGTGAGTTCCCAGAATGAAGGCTGTGTCACGGCTGCGCGGCGGTGGGCGGAGTCAACACGACCGCGGTTCCTGGAAAGCGGATAAAGAGAAGCAGACACGGCGCGATTCCAGGGAGCAGGCGGCACTACAGCGGAACAGCCAGGGAGCGACCGCTGGGTAGTAACAGCGACGACGGGGGCGAACGTCTCAAAAACGCACCGTAACATCCACGCAGACACCGGGACAAAACACACAGCAATCGCAGCGCTCCGAAGAGGCATTTCTGGGTGCTAAAGTGTTGCGACGAGAGCAGGTTCCGCGACTGGAGAGCTGAGAAGCGGTGCGCGCTCGAAGCCCATTGGCTGGTTGACGGTGCCGCGGTGACGTCAGGCCCTCAGAGCTGGAGGAGTTCTCAGAATAGACTTCTAGGAAATGGTAAATTTTAAAAGCCGAGTTTATACACAGCGTCCTTCACACATTTGGATCTTATTCCCGTGACAAGACACTCCAAGCCGCGGCGACGGATTCACAAACTCTAAGACTGAATTATTTCGATTCATGTTTTTAAGCTTTAAAGCCGTACTCCGTGTTCTTTATATTGGAGAACGCGCACGGACCTGCTTATTTCCGCGTCCCGAACCCTATAGAGCAACTCCTATAAAAACTCAGCGATCCAGTTCAGTTCCAGTTTTCCACACAATATTTTAAATATATTATAGTTTTTTCTGTTTTTATTTTTTTTTTAAAGAAGAAACAATACGGACAGGATTCAAACCAAGTGGGACTCCAAGGATAACGCTATAGTATGATTCTTTGTGTGCCTGGGTAAGACCACTTCTTTTGTTACATTTGCTCTGTGTACTTTTCTCTAACAATGGGCCATTATAGTCAAAAGAAGCTTATATAATAACTTATCTTATGGTCATTTGATAAATTCTAAATTGTACAGGCAATTATGGGTGTAGCCTCGACAAACTGACAAACCCTTAATTACAGACATTATAAGCTACTAATTAAAAATGCTCATCACACAACAATGATTAACTGAATACGTATTTTATATCCATTCTTTAACGTTAGATACTGTAAAGATGTTGACATTTCTTATCCTGGTTCAATGAGTTCAAACACTAGATGACCTTATTTGTGAATGGGGAAAAACACGTTCCCCCAAAAACTCAAAATGTCCCTATGCGTCATGTTTATGTTTTATGTTTTTATGTTGTAGCCCTCGAGCTCTTCTGCCTGCTACTGCTTCTTCTGAGGGTCTGCTGGGCATGCGGACAGAGAATGTACAATCAAACTCTTGCCTCCAAAATCCCCCTCTTTTCTGGGACCCTGTGAAAGACCTGCAGACAATCGCCAGTAACTTCTGCTATCTAGAAAATTCAGGTACTTTTACAACATTGACCCACTGATATGCGCTTCTAGGGATTTGTTCATTGTTTGTGTTAAAGGAGAATTCTGATTAATCATTAATTGTAGTGTTTTAGTAGTTGAGCGTGATACACAGTATGTACCTTTCTAATTGATTGTATGTTTTTACAGGATGGTATTGGGGTGCCATAACAGCAGCACAGGCACACGCTGCACTACAGGAGGCCTCAGAAGGAGCATTTTTGATTCGGGACAGCTCTCACCCCATGTACATGCTTACACTATCAGTCCGGACAGCGCGGGGTCCTACCAGTATACGAATTCAGTACAAAGGATCACGGTTTCTACTGGACTCTAGCTCACCGGCTCTCCCTAGTCTCTCCACGTTCCCAAATATTCCCAGTTTGGTACAACACTACATGGGATCAGTAAAGCAAGCGGAGGAGAAGAAAGAGGAAGACAAAACAAATTCAAAGAGCATTCAAGACTCTTCGATTGTATTAAAACTGAAACGAGCAGTGTACAAACCTCAAGGACTACCAACACTGCAGCATCTAACACGCCTGGTTATAAACAGGCACACGGACTGCCCTGAATCGCTACCACTCCCCGGGCCCCTTCTGCGCTACGTACAGGACTATCCCTTCAAGGTATGAGAAATGTCCCCCTCTGTGCATTCAAGTACTTAAATCTCAGCCAACTTTCAAAGGAAACTGTGATAATCGGGATTTTACTGTTGTTTGTTAATAATAAAGATACTGCAACATTTGGCATCACAGTACTGGACACAGGGTCCCCTTATTTATGTGAAGCACTCTTAAACATAAACTACTCACCACCTCAGTAATGTAAAAATAATTACTTGTGAGACTTTGAATACATCTCGATTTATGGATGTGGAAAATGCCTGTTTTATCAACATCAAACCAACAGACTCACTGAGGTATCCTTTTTGACATTTTATTTTTTTCTTGGTAAATATTTGATTTTTCTACTTTTTACATGTGTACATTTTATATTAAAATAATTCATTGAGTCCACTGTTGTCGTCATAGTCTTTCCTGTTACAAATCTTATGTGTACATGTCAGCATAATGCAACGGGTAGTGAGAAGTCCAGTCATAAACATTGGAATTGGTTTCATCTTGTGACTTTGTGGTAATATCCAAATACAGAAGTTAATTTCTTGGTAAAGTTGCATTGCGAGATAGAAAATTCATTGAGTAGTGGAGAACTGTCGGGTACTTTCCTACAATTATTCAAACCTTATCAAATAACATACATGTTTTGTTAATAGTTCTATATGTTTCTTTGTAAGCAAACAAAGCAGGGAGGTGAATTTAGATTGAGTAAAAAAAAGTCTGTTTTTAAAGTCTGTTTCTATTACAATATGCTATACAGATTTTGGTAGTTTTGCTTGCTAATGTGAATTACATGTATATAAGTCAGCGAGGGGACAAGCAAGGGTGGATTGCAGTCTCCATTGGATTCATAGAACTGGTGAATGGTTCCAGGGAGGAGGGCGAGATTCGGAGAGCGCAGGCTTCTAAGAAAAGCCCTGATAATTACCTTCAGCTTTGAGCCTGTGTCTGAGCCATCTTGCGCACATTTTCATTTGCAACGCAGAGTACGCAGATATTCCCGGATTAAATTGTTGTCAAACCACAATGATTTAATCTCACAAACAGGGAAATGTGTAGTGATCAGATCTAGTGAAAGTGCATTTATGTGCGGTAGCGGGGGAAGGAGAGTTAAAAGCTGAGACGACTTGAGCTAAAGCCAACGTAACAGGATCTTCAGTTACTCAATCCCAATCTTGCTTGTGGTTCTTGTTTGTCTCCTCTTTCTGAAGGATGCAAAACCTTGGTCTACAAAATAAAAAACAAAACAGTAATTAAAATAAATAGCAGTTTGTGATGCGGCAAGATGAAACGCCTGTTATGACAATTGCATCATGATGAATTTGATGTTATGGGGCCAAATAGTGGTAAGAGTATAAAGTGTAGTTGAATGAATAATGATTACATCCTGGTTAAATCCTGGTTTAGTACTGGATTAGTCCTGGTGTAGTTCTAGTTTAGTGCTATATTGGTTTTGGTTTAGTTGTGATTAATCCTCCTCTGGTTCAAAGGTTAAGATTATTGTATATTAGATTATTGTTAAGTAATTTGGTAAAGACAAAATTCTGAGTTTTAGATTATACATTATGTTACACTATGCTTAAACAACAAATGGCACCAGGTTTTATCGCATGGTGCTCAAAAGTGTAGTTATTACATAAATAAAGGGCATGTCATTGAGTCTTGCTTTAGGCCTAGTTTAGTGGAAGTGGATATTCAAATATTTTCTAAGAAGAAAAAAAAGTTCCAACATGCAATAAGGTCAGTTTAGTTCTGGTTTAGATACAGTTATTATTCATGGGTTTAAGCTTCATGTTCTATGCAACATGTTGAGGTTTGAGTTTTTTCCATTCAAAGTTTCCATTTTGTTTTACATTTTTAATCACCCATGGATAGTTTTTGTTTAGATCAACATTAATTCTGAAGAGGTCCTGTTTTAAGCCTAGTTTAAGTGGAAAAGCAAAATGTTATTTGGTAGTGACAAGAATGCAAGTATTAAAATCACATTTAGCCCCCATGAAACCAGGTTAGTTCTGTTAGAGAAGGGCAATAAGTAAATATCTTGATGAGTATAATAATATAATAATGATATTCGGACAATATTATGTCAGTCCAGAAATGTCTAGTCAGTGTTAAATAGCTTTAGATGCATTAGTTCAGTTTTAAGTTGCAAGGTTTCTTTCCTTTTTATCAACTCTTACGGCAACAATTTTATTATAACAATATAATTAATATTCAAATTTTGCTTATTTTCTTAACAACATTCACAATATAATCTATATTTTCATAATCTACCCACTGATAGTTCTGGTTAAGATCTTGTTTAGTGCTATCTTTAATTCTGTTGGGGCCATGTTTCTACCTTCTGTATTGGCTTTTAGAGAAGTTCAAAGTTTTAACATAAGATGGTATATAGAACTATTACTTACAACTATTATTTATTACTTAGTGTGGCATGTTTAAAAACTATTGACAGTTATATAATGACATTAACATTGCTTTTGGGACTGGGTGTACAAACCTGTTGTTAAAATCGTGTTTAGTCTGAACATAATGCAGCCCCTGAAGGTGAGACTCCGCCCACTGTTGTATAAGAGGAGGGTGTCTCGGATCCACCTCTAAATACACACGGCTGTAGATAGAAACAAAGCATGCACCAGGAATATTAGAGTCAAAGCTACAGTATCTCCTGTTTTATCAATTAAGGCTGATCAATTAAGAGTTTTATCAATTAAGACAATTTTAAGATAAAATGCTAAGGTACAAAGGGCTATGACTGAACCATTTGAGAAATATATCTAATTGCGATTATTCTGACAAGCGTTATGATTATGATTAGATTTGCGATTTATGTTTTAATAATATGATTCTGTTCAGAGTTCACATTTAAACGTGCCCAGAAGAATTAATAAAAAGACTGAAATATAAAGTGACAAACTAATAGGATCTGAATCCAAACTACATGGTTAACAGCTTTTATGCAGAAGATATTTTGCAAAGGTGGAGAAAATTATGGTACTTCAATAACTGCAGCCTTCCCTCTTGAAGTTCAGCTATTGCATAATGAGCCAAAATTACATCCTGAAGTGCAGAATGATCACATTCATTCTACAATTTAATAAATAATATAAAAACTATAAAAACCTATATTTTAACATAGGAAAATGTTGATATAATGATACTGAGGTAGAGCATTAGGCAATACAGAAGTAAAACATTCAAATATAGGAATATACGGGACCTTTATCCAGGCTTCAGACTGGCACAATAACTTTACAGCTTTAATGGACCTGGTCTATTTATGGTATAGTCCTGGGATTGTGAAGATTTTGGTGACCTTTAAAGACAGTTCCTGGAAAGCCAAATATTTTCTGAGGTAGTGCATGGTGTAAAGGTCAAATCATTGGAACTAGAGAAAAAAAAAACATAAAAAGCAACTTGATACACGTTTGCCGGTACACGCTGTTCCTGTGAAAAGGCGATTACAAATTAAACCCAGGTGGGACTTTTGGTGTGCGCTTGTTTTGTGTTTTGGGGCAGCCAGGGGAGTAATTTTTTTTATTTTTTATTTTCTTTACCCGTGGTTTTGGAGAATCTGTGAAGCCAAAATCAAGACTTGTCTGATCACTGTGAGCCCGTCTGCACCTCCGTCTAAAGCAGCAGGGTCCTCGAAACTAATGCATACACATAAGACATGAATAACAGCCTAGAAACCCGATACAAGCATGTACGCACTGTGTACATTTAAATTTAACATGGACAGGCTCTCTAAGTACACCATGTTACTGCCAAGTTACCTAGTGTACTTTTTTAAGTCAGTCAAGATAATAAAACTAGCCAAGTGCTTTAGAGTGATTTAAATCAATTTAATTATTTAACAATATTAAACAAAATCTTAGATCTTTTGAATGGTGAAAAGTATTCACAATTAATGAAAAAGCCATGAATTGTGTCATATCAGTATATTGGTTTTATTTGTGATCCACAGCAGTTACGTTTGATTCCAAAGTTGTATTCACACTTCTAGTTTGATCCTGGTTTAGTTCTGATGTAAACTTGGTTAGATCCAGTCCTAGTTCTGGTTTAGTTCTGATGTAAACTTGGTTAGGTCCTATCCTAGTTCAGGTTTGGTTCTGGTTTAGTCCATGTTGTTTTGGATTAGTCCAAATTATGATGTTATGTATAAATAAAACATGATGTAAAGACAGATTCTATTAGATCAGTACACATATAAAGCAAAATCGGCAGCATATTTTCCAGCAATACAGAAAATGTTACAACAGAATACCAACACTGTATGGAATCTAGTGTTAAGACTCAAGTATCTGTAAATAACTGATAGCTTGAGCAATAAAAATGCACATTTCCTTTTTGATATAAGCCATTTCCTGTAGCAAAGATAGACCAAGAAAACATTAATGAAAAATAATAATGGAGCTTAGGTGCTTTTTCAAGGTCTTCTTTTGAGCAGACAAATCTATTACCATTTATATGAACAATATGCCTTTTATTAGCTGAATGAATTTTCTAAATGCTTCCTGAAATCAAAAATACAACTTATAGTATAGAATGTATAAGAAATGCATATTTTTACTTAAAGGTATAGACAAAACATTCACATAATGGACATGACATAACCTTGTTCTCAAGAAGAATTTGCCCTTGACCCATTACAATCTATTCTCAACAAACAGTCTTTTCTCAGTTTCGTTCTCTCAAAAGTGTTTGAAGATGCACGCACTATGTAACTGTAAATAATAATCTTATTGTACTCATTTCATACTAAATGCCTGCTACATTTAAAGTGCAAAATGTTCTGTTCAGTGGCTTGAATGATACAAACTGCAGGTGCTCTGATTTTCCCAGACGTATGTGCCAGCTATAAAACAACATTTATAGGCTCTGTAGACTCTCAGACCCCTCAGACTTCTCTGATACTTTGGCTAGATGCTTGTAGACTCTTGTAGACATTTTTTTTCCTGTTTGTCACCCTGATGCTGTGAATTCTGCTGTAATACCATTAAAGGTACTGTAAGAACAATCCCATGCCTCTGTGCTTGTTTATTCATTTTTGCAAGATACAACAGAAATCAACGTAACCTTTCTCACACTACACTAAACATACATTTTGCATGTATTCAGTCAAGCCTATATGTTGATTTATTGTTCAGATTTAACTAAAAACAAATTGCTTTATTGGTGGGAGTGGGGTCAACTCTCCACTGATAGCGTCTCCCAAGACACTACATAGATTTAATGCTAAACACGTGAAAAGTTACATGCACATGTAACAAGCTTAGAGTTTTAACTTTTTTACCATAATAAAATGAACATAAATTTTTACCACTGCAAATGTACATCTCATAGTTAAATTTTTTATCACATTGATGAAATAATTTTAACTTTTTTCATTTTCTCAAAGCATGCACACATAACCCAACCAATAGTAGCTTGGTAAGAAAGGGTTTCAGGTAATGCTAGATTCTGGACATTTACTTGTAGTTCTAAATAGGACTAAACCTGGAAAATGACTCACCACTGTATTTCAGATTGTAGTGATGACATGTCCTCTGTATACAGGTACGGAGGGTTACTCACCACAGCTGAAACTCCACCACAACTGTTCAATATGGTCTCCGCATCTGATAATAACACCATAAAAACAGACACATTTATGTTGTCTTTTATACTGGTTTTCTAAATTTTACATTCTTATATTCATGGACCAGTGAAGGCAGTCTTGCCAGTACACAAACATCTGTACTAACTCTAGATCTAGAGTATTTGGCAAATATTAAGGAAAGGTAAAATTTTCTCCTATTTGTGTACATTCCTCCAGTGTCAGTATTTTAATTTCTTCTTTTTTTGACAACACTAGATCGCAGTGTGAAGTGTCTTGCCCAAGAGCATTTGACACAATAGACATGGGAAGTGCGGATATAACCACCAACCCTCAGATTAGTGGATGAACACTTAACTGAGCCAGTACAACACAAAAGACAAAAGAAAACTCAAAGTAGCTTACTTAAGATACATATTTGCACAGAGTAATATTATTATTGTTAATTATTTGAAGACTGCATTTTGCACATTTGGAAATATTATAAAAAGGCTTCACATTTTTTCTTTGGATAACAGCATGTTAATAGTATACAGCCATATTCTGCATATAAAATTACTGGTTATTGTTACCTTTTAAAATATCCAAATGATAAAGTTGTAACCTGTCTTCAAGTCCCAGGCTATAAAATAAAAGACAACGTGAGACAATTTACAACACAAATCTTTTAAAATACATATTTTTAAACCTAAAATACAATATATATATATATATATATATATATATATATATATATATATATATATATATATATATATATTATTTATTATTATTTTTTTTTTACCTTAGAGCATTTTCTTTGGTTAAAAGTACTGCATCCTCACTTTGGTCCAAGGCCACTGCTCTGAGCTACAAACAAAAAGCACAGTTTTCACATTTATTGAAAATATAAAAGACATATGCAAGCAAAAATCAAATATAAACTTTGAACAGCATATAATGAAGCTACAATAAATATAAGACACCAATGTAATGAAGAATGGAAAACAATGACATATTTGATCCTATTAAATTTTGTGTGTTTTTGTCTTCAATAGTCCTATGCTTGTGGCATCTTAGATTAAAGGTGCACTATGAAGCGTTTCTGGTGAGGGGTCAGTCACCTGCTGACAGTCTGTCTAACCATTTATTAAATTGCAGGTGTTCACCTCTCCACAGACCTGACCTGTAACTTGGCCTGGTGATGTCTTCTCTTCTGTTTGTCTCCAAGTTAAATTAAATAATTCCCACTCAGAATCCCACTAAAAAAGTTACATAGTACACATTTAACTTGTGATTGCAATAAACTAAACCAGAAGTGCTGATTACAGATAATACCTTTAAATGTTAGCGGAACAGTTACAGTTGGGGGTGTATGCTGTACTGTGATGTAATTTCACAAATGGATATTTATCAAATGCACAGGAGGAGACCTATTATAGAACTTTAAGGGCACCGCGCTATGGGAATGACTCATTCTTTCATAATGCTGAAAAAGCTGAAAGCTCTGGTTTTTCATTTGTCCACTGAATTGTGATAGTTAAGGATATTTTTACACTAAAATATATATGTGCTTTACTTTTCATTTTTTATAATATTCAAATTTACAAATAACTGCTTGTTATAATCCTTTCTCTCACCTGACGGAGACTCTTTAACAGACTTAAAGAGATTGCACCAGAACCACAGCCAACTTCTACGGTGCTTAAGCTCCCAGTTTCCCTCTGGAGATCTGACAGAACAATTTCAACCAACTCCTGCAGCAACAAACAAGTATGAATGAATACCAGATATGATACAAAGGATAACTTTTATTGGAGAAGTGGTGGGTTTGAGATGACATCACAATATTCTATTGACCAATATTATTTAATACAGATGGGAGCAGTTAAAATGTATATTGTTACAATTACACTTTTTGTTGCAATACTGTAAGGTGTTGCTTTTAGTCAATAAACTCCATCTGCGAGTATCACATTCTAGAATCAGAAAACCACCAATAGCTAAATGTCAATGTTACAACAGCAAAGTACAAGAACAACAGTAGAATAAAATAAGACACAGACACATATATCGGTTGGCCAATGTATCAAGTAGATATTTGCACTTCTTAGCATATCTGCTATTGACTTGAAATCTCTCTAACAGAGGCAGATATTTTGTGTGGGCCCACCAGCTGCCAAAAGAATCTGCATAAAACTTTATTTGAATATTTTAGTGCAAGACAGTACTGTACAAAACATGACTGCACAGCTCTTATCCAGTTTGTGGATGAGTTTTCAATAAATTGAATCAAAATTGGCCCTTAATATAGGTGAACAAAAATCAGCCTTTGGTTTCTCTAGATTCTAAACTATCAGGATCAAACTAATCACTTATCAAAAATATAAAAATAAACGTAATATTTTAATATTTACTTTTAATAAAATCAAGATACAAGATTGATACAAATACAATCAAAAAAAGTAGACTACAAAGCAGTAATGTATGATTGATGGTTTTGTTCCTGTTATGTGTATTCTGAGTGTGTGAAGCTCATTACATATAAACACACCTGCCCATTTCTAGAGGTGTTAAGTTTGGTCAAAACACACCTCAGTTTCAGGTCTGGGTATAAATACAGGTGGTCTCATCTTTAGAGTGAGGTCCCTGAAGTCCCACTCCCCTATAACATACTGTACTGGCATCCTACACAACACAAGATACAAAGTTTTATGCAGTGAAAAAAGCATAACCCTTTAAACAATCACCCACATGCCTAATAAAAGCTTAATTATGAAATGTTGGTCAAACATGTCATTTTAAATACAATAAATTACCTCTTAAGTCGCTTGGCACAGAGCTTCCATATCTGCTGTATTTTTTCGGTGCTCAGAAGCTCGGTTAGCACCTTGGCATTGACACTTTCAATCTATGATCAATGAATTATATAAAAATGACATTAGGGACCAAACCTCAAAATATATTATACTATGAGCAAAAATATTTTTGAGTTAAGTGAATTAAGTAATATATGTGGTTTTGAATGAACATATTTAAATGAATTGAATTGAGGGTCTCACAGCTCAGAAGGTCAAATGAAAGAGTAACTGTTGATTGTTGATTTTTTCACAAAAATAAAATGGAGCCTAAATTGAAATCATAAACAAACTGACAAGGGATGCACATATATATCTATCGACCAATATCAGCACTTTAGTTTGAAGTACCTGCTTCAATTCAATCACTTTATTTATCCCAGAAGGGCAATTAAAAGGCACAAAGAGTAGGAGAGTTACATAATAAAGGTATACATAAAATCAATCATAATGTCCATTCAGTAGAGATCATATTAGTGTTGTGCTGAGATGTTACAGTGCTGACGAAGGGAGGGGTCAGAGGTGAGAAGCTGAGTGACTGAAGGGACAAAGATGAGAGGTGTCCCTGAGGATCCTGGGGGCCACTCTCATAGCCTGCTGGTCAAATAGAGCAGGGAGGGTTCTCACTTACTTGCCAATAATTTTGGAGTAAACATTTCTGAGTGTGATCAATGTGACCTGTTTTGAACACTGACAGGGCAGAATGCTCTCGATAAAGGCATGGAAAAAAGGTCATAATCGTGTTGTTACTGACAATAAGAGACCTTAATTTCCTTAAAAGGTACGTCTTACCAATAATTTCAACCTGTGCATATCTAAGATATTTAAGATAAAATAAGATAACCTTTATTAGTCACATAATGGGGAAAATATTATTTCCTAAAATAAATGTTATTAATCCTTCAAGAAACTGCAGAACATCTTTGTATAAATAGCAGTCTAAATGGCTCTGGGCCAAAATGTAAAATAAAGCTTATTATATAAATGACTAGTGATAACCAAAATTTTGGCCCTAGGCCATATCATAGAATTGTTGCCTATGCCCGCAAATTTATCTGGATCATCACTATTACCAGTACTGATATTGGTGCCTCAATAAAATCTCAACATCCCTACATAGTTAATGTCTTCCTTTCTGTGTTGTCTGTTTATAGTTGTTGTATAGTTGGATTTTCAGTTTGATATTGTGTTTAGATTTTTGATTGCATAATATTGAAAAAGGTTTATCATTAAATGATTAAATGTGCTGTACAGTGAATGATGTTACTTACTGTCTTAGCCCCGAGCACATGGGCAGTTATGTAGTGACTCGACAGGTCCGGTTCACTAACACCTTTCTCCTGGAAATGTTGACTCCAGGAATTTGCTGCCTGCAGAGCTGTTATTCTCTGCACTGGGAGAGCCAGGCCACTGCAGCCACGCACAGCATACACCCAGATCAACTGCAAATATTTATTAAAGGATGATTCATACTATGAAATGTGTATTCATTCATTATATTTTCATTGACGCATAACATTCAAAATAATCTGCCATTCAGCATGAATACAAAAACAGAACCATTTGTCAGTCCAAGAAAAGCAAAAAGTACAAGGTATTATTGTAAACTTAGTACACTTGGTAAGGTTAGAAATTGACTAACTTTGCTGTTCAATTAGCTTTAAATTAAATAAATGGTTCATATTATACCTGTGATTTATTTTTCTTGCATCCCATAAAATAGAACACTTCATTAAGGGCTCTCCTCCACATCCACATGGCAGGCTAATACTTCTGAAATAGCATTAAAACTAAACAATCCCATTTAATTTCAGCTTTGCTTTTAAATAACGTGATAGTAACAATCTTTGTCCTCTTCAGACAGAGGTCTTTAATAAAGCGAAATTCATATTTTTAAGTATTTGTAGGATCAAGTTCATATCTCGTAGCATGCATGTCCTCTCCTCCCTCCCTCTCTGCCGTTTTTGTCATGTGACTCTGTCCGCATGCGCAGTTTGTCGCAACAGAAACAGCTGATTTAAGACCATAGGAAATTTTAAATCAAGTATACAGCGGAAAATTAAATTAGTCTATAAAATATATTTGGCGATAGAAATAGTGTGCAGGTGGTACTATATTTAGTAATTATTTTAATAAATGCAGTGAGATTCGCGAATTTTGCATTTGTAAAGCATCAGGTCTTGTAATATTACCCACACAACATGTTTTTATGCTTTACAACAGCCAGTAAACACAGCGTTGTTGTTCATCTTTGGTGGAGCATGTTTTTGGAGAGTTGTTGCAAAGTTTTCTGAAAAGGAAAGAGAAGGACAGTATATTTTTTCGTATCGTTGTCGACTATATTTTCCAATAATTTGAAATGTGTTAACTCTGCATAAAGCGTTCAGATTGCTGTCACAAATCCAGGTCTAACATGCTATTTTAGCTAGCTTCCTCTTTAGCTGCAAATCCTGAATCCTGAAAGTGATGGTCATGTCATGCATTTTGACTGGACGGAACTGCTTTTTATAAATATTTGTTTTAGATTTAGAATTTACCGGTGACAATGGGGTTAAATACTCGCATAGAGTGCATATTCTTTAGTGAATTTCACCCAACACTGGGACCAAAAATCACTTATCAGGTAAGTTAAGAGCATGTGGTTATGTTTTAAGGCAATACACCATGACAATGATGTATTGCCCACTTCTAATTACTTAATCATTCATTCATTATATTAATTTAAATTCTAAGATCATGCATTCAGTTCCAGATCACAATATATGAAAATCAAATAATACTGTTTAATTTCTATACCGTTCTTTTTAGAATCAGTGCATTACATGTACTATAACTTTTGTGGTGAAGTGGATTTTATTCCTATTTTGACTGTACTTTGTTGTCTTTTATGCCTTTCTCACCAGGTTCCAGAGGAGTACATCTCTCGTGAGCTCTTTGACACAGTCCAAGTTTACATTATCACTAAGCCAGAGCTGCAAAACAAATTAATAACAGTGTATGTAATCTGAACATTTATTCATTATTGTCAGTTGACTTTCACAGCAATCAATTTATGCTTTATTTCAGGACTGCAATGGGTAAGAAATTGATTGGATGTCCCGTGTGCATTGAACATAAAAAGTACAGCAGAAATGCACTCCTGTTTAATCTAGGCCTTGTATGCGATGCTCAGACCAACACCTGTCCACTGGAGCCCATTGTTAAGAAACTGTCTGACTACCTCACTACACTCGAGGTAACAGAAATTATCTATTATCTTATTGATATTCCTATATTTCTTGTTATTAAAATTATTTTTTGTTGCTTTTGCAGCTTGAAAGTGGCTTTATATCTAATGAAGAAAGCAAACAGAAATTATTGCCAATTATGTCAACTTTGTTAGAAGAACTGAATGCTACAGGAGCCTGCACACTACCCATTGGTAATATATTTTTATTCAAAGTAATTTAAAAATATCTCAACAATTTTGATAAATAGTCACTAGTATATCCTATTTTTTATGTCTGCTGGTAATGCTCTGGGTAAAGTTTGTGAATAAATAACAGATTGTTATGGTACCTTTTGGTAGGGTGAGTATTATTCAAGCATTAGAAATGTGCAGTTTGCTAATGATCAAAATATTGAAGCATTTTTGTGTCCATAATGTCAACCATAGTTATATAATTTTACTTGTATACCAATTTTGACCACATAACTGTATTTGCTGTGTACAATTTATATTTCTAGACACATCCAATACCATACATCTGAAGGAAATCCAGCCAAGGAAAGACCCGGCCATTGTCCAAGAATATGATGTTCCTGTTTTCAGTCAGTGCAAAGACCACTTCATCAAATCTCAATGGGACCTCACCACTCAACAGGTAAGAAGACATTCAACATCCATAGAGTATATACTGTAGGATATATTGACATATTGCATAAAAAGCTGCAATTTTTTTTTAGATTTTGCCTTATATTGATGGGTTCAGACACATCCAAAAGATCTCAGCAGAAGCAGATGTGGAGCTCAATCTTGTTCGAATTGCAGTGCAGAATCTACTGTAAGTTTGTTAAAGGGTTCTATTTAACTTTTCTGGAGGAGAGTAATGGAATATTTCACAGTATTCCATTAAAGTTATCAGATATATGTGTGTGCATATACGTATGTATATGTATATATGGTTGGCCGACCTTCCCCCAGAAAAGTTAAATAGTGCACCTTTATGCATAAGCTGATAATAATCAGATAATACTTTTTAATTTTACATCATATTTTTGGACACAAACAATTTTCTAATATAATGCACTGTTTCTTACAGCTATTATGACATTGTGACCCTGGTATCAATATTTCAGGTAACACACCACATTTGTTAAAGCAGTGGTTATTCAGCAATTTACTGTGTAGGTCTGAATATATAGGAATAATCCATATTTAAATCCAAGATAGCCACCTGATGTAAACCGTAAATTATTTATGTATGTTTCTGATAGTACCTTTTATTTATCCTGACATTCATTGTTCTATGTCCACAACAGTACAGCAATGTCTACTGCACTACTCCAAAAGTACAAAGTCTTATCGATGACAAGTCCATCCAAGAGGAGTGCCTGAGCTATGTCACTAAACCGGGTAAATACAGTTCATTCTCATTTTGGCCTTGAGTTTTGGTGTAATTTTCCATTAGTCACTGTTGTTTTGGTTTTAGGTCAGAAGCGCGCCAGCCTCAGAGATGTTTTCCAGCTCTATTGCGGTCTGAGTCCAGGAACTACGGTCCGCGACCTTTGTTCTCGATACTCACTACAACTTCAAAGAGTGGATGAGAGGTTAGGATTCACTGGAATAAAACTTTTCTGACCAAGTGCCGTCTACACTGTTTGATAAAAAAGTTACTTGGGGATTAGAGTTAAAGGTGCTCTATGGAACTTTTCAGGTGGAGGGTTTGCTTAGGGATAGGCTGTGTTTAGATTTTTTTGAGCTGATTATATGCAATATTTGGCCTATTGCTATGGCTGATAACCGACATTTGCCAATACTGATATTTAGCTTTAAAATCCATAGCAAGGCCATGACATTTAGCTTAAGTTGAACAGATCACAAATTCACTTTTCACAATAATAACAGAATATCTGGGATATGAAATACTTTGTTTGCCGTTTGTGTAAAAATGCAATCATATAACACTCTTTATTTCTTGTTTGTTCAAAAAGCGGTACACAGAGATTGGGGCAGCACCAAAAATATCAACATCACACTAATAATCAATTTTAACCCTTTTTTTCTCAGAACCAAATGTATAAAATCTTGAGTGCATGTTGAGGCTATTTTATTTTTCGAGAGCGTGTGGCATAAGAATCTTGTCCCATCCTTCTCTAAACCATTCTTTAACTATCTGTTAACTAAAATTATGTCCCAGTAGAAGTGTAAATAGGACTAAACTAGCACAAATCTGAGCAAAGTCAGCCAGAATTTACCCATGAATAAATAAATTATATCTAACCTAAAACGAGTAATGTACAAAACCAAGCCTGAATATGTTGAGACCAAATCAAAAGCAGAAACAAACCTGGTTTAAATCAGCTCTTATCCAACAGGAAAAATGGCTCAAATTAAATACCTGAACAAAATAGATTTTCAATTTCCTTTCAATGGAAATGAAAGACATCTGTGTTCTAGACTTAACAATTCCTGAAAAACCCACTTAATGATTTCTAGAAAGTCAGAACTTTTTTATGGTCCACATCTGGCTCACATCTGCTGCGTTTCAGGAAACTGATCCAGTTCGGCCTCATGAAATGTCTAATACGGAGACTGCAGAAGTATCCTGTCAAGGTTATCCGCGATGAGAAAAGCAGGCCTCCTCGTCTCTTCACCGGTTGCCATAGTTACGATGAGATCTGTTGCAAAACGGGTAAATTTGTGAAGTGTTTTGGTTGCGTAACAATTATGTATGATGATAAAATGCTTATGTCTTCTTCCATTCTCAGGTATAAGTTACCAGGAGTTGGATGAACGCTTGGAAAATGACCCTAACATTGTTGTGTGCTGGAAATAATTTGAAAGCACAGTACAGTGTCAAATTCATGGACTTATGGACAATGAAAGTGAATATACATTGAAAAACAACATGGACGTCTTTTCATTACTACTTTATGACTACTGATAGTGGAAGATGGTTACAGTTGACAAGAAGTAACAGTGGCATTCGAAGTTGATAATGTGAAGTAGGGGTGGGTGATATGCCAAATAAAAGTGGAACATTCTTTCAAGTCTTCAATGAGCTAGATCATGATTTAGATTTTATCACAATTCAAAAAGTAAACTTAGTATCTTTTTATTGCCTTGACTAAATAAATTTATTTGCTTCTTCTGCACGTTCGTAGTTCATTGCAATTGGTTAATTCCACTTGTGACAGTATAAGTAAAGCTAACAAATAGGAGATGGAGGTTGGACCGGTATTTAAGAAGATCTTTGTCACAATATAGCTTTTCTACCAAAATAGCATATTTTTACCACCCAGCCCTGACATGAATCAAGAAAAATAAGTGTAAGCAGTTTGAAAAAGGGTGATGACAACTAGAGCATCTCCAAATCTGCAGCTCTTCTTCAGGGGTTCCAGTCTACCACATCTGTCAGTAATAATATTTAAAATCAGACACGTGAAAGTGTTTGTAATGCAATGCCTGGTGATATAAACCCCTTAACCCCTGATGAATATCACTGTGACAATACTTTCCTTTTTGACTGTAACTCGTGTCCAAAAATGGCGAGCACAGTGATCTTTGCAAACAACTGATCATAGCTGTTATCTAACGAAATGATGTAACCTTTTTGGGGTAACTGAAGTAGTGCATTCAAGGGTACAGCGAAACAAAGTATCTTCATGTAGTATATTCCCTGTTGTACTTGAAGTATTGTGCTTTTTGTTTTTTTGCATGCTTACTCAATTAGCACACACACTGAAATGTCCATTGCCAATCTATGCAACACTAAATACTAATTTATGCAATACATAAAATATGTGCTTTTGTAAAAAAAAAAGTGTAGGCCTATTTCTTTGAAAGCATTCATTGCCACTGCGGCAGACAATGGAAGAACATCTTTGTGGACTGGTATACAGCCTATAGCTAATGACAACCATGCTTTTATAATTATTTTGGTTGCAAATAATGTTACATAATCATGTGGACTTTCCACACACTGTTGAACTGACATCTAGGTCATTGGAATAGAGCCCAATTTGCCATTAAAAATAAATCAGCAGAAAAATAAAATAAAAATACAGGTGCAAAAAAATTACTGAAACCACTTTGCAGGGATGGGCCCATTGCAAATGCTTACGACATTCATATCTTGAATAAGGTTGGTAGAAATAAATGAAATAATATATTTTTTTTTTTAAAAACATCACAAAATATGTATAATAAGCATAATCATTAACTGACCAAAAATTACAACTGCGATAAAAGACTGAAATAATAACATTGACATACAACGTGCTCTGTTCAAATAGGCCTAATTATTTTGTTCTCGTACACATTTTTGGGGCCTTTTGGGCTTTGCTTGTATGCGCTGTTGCTGCCTCGTGCTGATCAAACAGAGGAACTG